AGAAAACACTAAGAATGCTTTATAGTCTTCTATAATGCCAAAGAAAGTTTAGGGCTGTGAACCACAGATACTAGACCTGTTGCTTGTTCTCTCTGAATTTTGGTTTCCATAAGACAAAAGGTAATTTATATTTTAATCTAGTTTTCCTCAATTATATTAGGCCCTTGGTGAGCACCAAAATCAGTTGCAGAAGTAGACTGAAAGATCTCAAAAATTATTGGCTTAAAATATCAGATGCTTCTTTCTATCTTGCTGAGGGGACACTCTATTTCATCAGTCACAGTGAAGCAAGACTAGAATGAATATTGAGTTAACAGTTATCATAGAACCATTACCAGAGTCAGGCACGATTAAAGCAGCACAACAGGCTGTTAAGAGGAACTTCTGCATGCAATTCCTGCTCCTGAGGTAGAACTCATTCAACTATTCAGAGACCACTGAAAGAACTACTATTAGCATAGAAATTATAGTAGCTAATCTGGTATTTTGGACTAGGAAATTTAAAAAAAAAAAAGTCAAAACAGTTTTATAATATGAATCAGTCTTGAGACTCATTTTTGATTGTTTCTGTCAAAAACTTTGTAAGTTTCCAGCAAAGGTCTCAAATGTGACAGGCAATTACTTTTAGATAAGAGGTTTTGTACTTTGATACTGACACAGCTGTTCGTGAATCCAATTACAAAACCTCCATTTAGATTAGAAAATTATCCATTCCAGTGTTTTATGCAAACGTCACATCACGTTTGCTATTTGATATGTAAAACTGCAGTTTAAATATGTTGTTTACTTAAAATTAATATAATTATAGATGAGTTTTTGCTGTTACCTCTTGTTTTGTTAGTTTCCACTACTGAGCAGAGCCTGATCCACCATCTTGGCACTTCCCATTCATATACTTGAATGCATTGATGAGGCCCCTCTCAGTTGTCTCTTCTCAAGACTGAACAGCCTCAACTCCCTCAGCCTTTCCTCATCACTGAGGTTCTCCAGTCCCTTCACCATCTTTCTTGCCCTTTGCTGGACCTGTTTCAGGAGCACCATGATGAAGTTGGAGTATATTTGCCTGAAATACTGACAGTGCTTTTCATTCTAATTCCTTTTAATGTCTTTTTACTGATAAGACATGTCCCGTGCTCACGTTCACTTCATGTCCAGTGGCAGAAAGACATTTTCCATTGTGCTGTTCTAGAACTGATTCTGATGGACAAAACTCCTCTTCCTTATACACTAACTAAATTTCTGGTTTTACACATTGTCAGGATTAAGTTTGTAAAAAATATTATGTCATTACTTTGACAATCTGTCAAAATGCTGTGGAAGACAAGCTCTCCATAGTCTCCCATAGTGCCAACAAGTTTGGAATTTTGAGAGAAAAAGACTGTGTAAAACGCAGTACACTGGAAGGTTGCAATTTTCAGGAGTTTGTTCTTTTCAACAATACCAACATATTCTTGTAATGTTCCATTTCATCTACAGAACAGCAAATGTTACCACCTTTTATTTGATTGTTCACAGAGCACTGTTAGGGAAACATCCTCAGAACAGCAGAAATAAAAGCATCACAAAAAGAAAAAGCAATGAAAACATCATTATTGCACCTTTACAATGCCTATATTATCTGAAGTGAAATCAGGTGCCTGTGCTCAGTTTATCTGTTCTCAGATAGCTTGTTTTATTTCTATACTCCTGACACACAGATGGGTAAAGGAAGAGATAGACATTAATTCAGTGTACCTCCATTAAGACATCTTCATTAGGAACTATTTTAAAGCCTTTCTTTTCTAGAGTTTAGATATTTCCACTCATACCACAACACTGTGCAAGTTGGGCCAACTACCACAAGTTAATTATAATTACATTTCCTTAGCCATGGGATACATTTCAGACAGGTGTTTGAGAAGTTTAACAGTTATCTTCACTTTATCACTATTATTTCAGTGCCTCTATAGGTACCTTAGTTACTTTTTCATCCACGTATTTCTGAATACGTTGTCGAAGAGGTTTTGGAGAAGATCCATTGGACTGCACTGGAGATCTAAATTAAAAAGAGATAATTATTTAGAACATGTAAAAGCAATTAGATAAGGAAAGTTGCTAGCATACCAAGTTCCTCAGAAACAGGAAGAACAGTATCTGTCACTCTCCAAGCTTACATTTTTCTACCTTTCTAAGTAACCATGTGTGCTGCGACAACTGACGAGAGCATAATGAAACCAAACCTACAGTCTCAATTTTCGGTACCATTTGGCCACCAGGGAGTTTTCTCCTTCCTCTCCCTCCTATTTTGATTTTAATCTTCTCCAAAGGCAAGACTCAATGCATGCTGTCAGCTTAAGATTCTACTAATAAACCTTCATGCATGTGAATTTGTTTCAATCACCCTTTGTACAACACTATCCTGATCAGTGGACCATGATATGAAGAACTACTTAACTATTTCAAACAGCTCCCACAAAATAATTGCTATGTAGAAACAAAAAATTATATAATCCAACAATTTCTTGTGCCATAGCTAGACAAGAGAGGCATCTTCAAACTGACTGCTAATCTAATTAGCTACTGAACAGACAGTACTTGAGTTTAGGAGTTCAAACTCAGCTTAAGAGAATGTTTGTTTCAAAGGATGTTCCTTCACGGGGTTTGTGCAGCCCAGAAATGTATTAGCTCAGTAAGCCTCTGTTAAAAATGTATCTGGAAGACACAGAAAATGCAAATGAAGAGGTAGAATACTTTTGAAAACTCAAGACTGTTCTAAAAATGCTTTCCCTTTACATTGAAATCTCACAGCAGGCTGCACTTCGGTCATTTACTTTGTGTCAGCAACATCAATGCTTTGTTAAACAGTCCCCATTAGATCCTTACAAGAACTCCTCCCAAACAAACCAACCCAGCACAACAAAAATTCTAATACTCACCTGAACAGTTTCAGAACAGAGGTGATTGCACACAAACTCAAGTTTTCATTACCATATAACAGATCTGCTTTGTTCTGGGTAGGTGCATTTACAGCCTCTTCATCCAGAAGAACTAGTAAGACCTTTACAGTATCTCTGCCACAATATGCAGTGCCATGATTTATGGCATGCAATTTTGGCTGAAAGTAAATAAAATTCAGAGGAACATAAAACAGGAGAGGTCAACAAGCCAGACCAACAGCTCACCTCCAACAGCAACCCACAGCAGCACACGATGCAAGCACCCCTCCTTCCCTTTCGCATTTAGCACTCACAGGGAGTCTGCCCATGGGAAAGCCTTTCTCATCCCAAGCAATTAGTAGAGTTTAGACCACTGCCAGATTCAGGTATACACTGATGAGAAGCCACACAGAAAAAACATACAAACCTGTGGTGAAACTGTGCAACTATTTTCTGGTACACAAACACCTTTTGGTAAGGTCCAACCCCTCTAACTGAATCTGCTAAAGCAGTTGGTTAAAAGTGAGGTTTGAATCAAGATTTGACAACAGAAGTAACTGGCACAATATCCTGTTGTTTGGAACAGGGTGAATTCCTTACAATTTTCCACAAGAATAAAGAATTCCTTAAAGAAAATAATAATCCACATCTGGAAGTGCTCAATGCACCAGTCAGCAGAGCAGAAGAAGAACTCCATAGCCACTGTGGGACTACAAGAATTGCAAGTTTGCTATATTTTTCTTTACAAGTACTAGGAATTCCATAGAGATATTTAGGGCTTAATACACAGTAGAAGATTTCTTAAAAGTACAGGCTCTGTTATTTACCAGAGCACAGAAACATTGAATACTCTGACTGCTCTGAAGGACAGGACAAGCAAAGAACTGCATTTATCTAATCAGTTAACTGCTTTTAAACACTGCCTTGAAAAGATCAAATTCTATTTCTCCCTCGATTTGATTACATCAATTAGTGTATGTAGCTTTCAAGAAACCATAGCAACACATGTCACTCAGCTATGATAAGTTATAATCAATAGCTAGAATAGCAATTACAGCAATGCTTGTTACTTGGCTTTGCAGAATTGGCCTATTTCAGTCCCATTTACTTTCCTCACAATTTATTCTGAGCCTCTTCGGTCATTACATCACCACAACATATATTTTTATTAAATGTCATGCGTGTCATGGGAAATTTGCCTTAATGAGAAAAGTACAAATTAGGCATAACCTTGACTGATTAGCCACAAAGGAAAAAAAAATAATGGCTAGAAAATAAAATAAACTCCTAACTGCCAAAAACTAACCTTCAGAAATTTCAAGTATTACAACAATGATGACATGGTGTGCATGGACAAACATCCTAATGGTCAAGGCACAACAAGAACTGTAGGCAAGACAAGAATCATAGAATCATAGAATCAACCAGGTTGGAAAAGATCTCCAAGATCGAGTCCAACCCCACCATGGTTACTAGACCATTGCATGAAGTGCCACATCTAGTCTCACCTTAAA